TTTTTTATGAATCAGTGGTGGTGGCGGCCATCTTCTACGCTGTTGTGTGCTGGGGCAGCAGCATCATGACAAAAGATGCAAATAGGCTCAATAAACTTATCAAGAAGACTGGCTCTCTGTTGGGGATGAGCCTTGACCCCATGGAGGTGGTGGCTGAGAGGAGAATGCTGACCAAGCTCACAGCCATCATGAACAACACCTCTCATCCGCTTCATGGGACTGTTACTGGGCAGCGAAGCACTTTTAGCAACAGACTGCTCCAGCTACGGTGTTCAAGGGAACGTTTCCGCAGGTCTTTCCTCCCGGCGGCTGTCAGGGTGTATAACGCTGCCCTAGGCTAGGACTGTTAGCTCTTCATTTCCTCGTCTATGGACAGCATGTTGCTCCATTGTACTTTTTGGACAATCAGTCTGTATAAACCTATGCACATTTTGCACATATTTTATTGTTTTTACTGTGACTATGATCATCACATTTTGCACACACCTATGTAATTATTTTTTATTTATTTATTTTTATTTATTTTGTTGTCTTTTGTTTTGTAACTGTTCTGATGTCTGTTTTTGCTTGTCTTGGGCTGGACTGCTGTAACACATCAATTTCCCTACGGGATTAATAAAGTATTATCTATCTAAATAAAGGAGCGTCAGATGCCCCCTTAAGCTCAAACACAAGCTTATGTAATAGCCATAGCACAATAACTTAAAGATTCAGCACTCAACTGATAAATTAATATTAGAATAAGGATCATAGTTTTAGTATATCGAAAGTTTTCTGTGATCCTTTATAAATCTGGGTCACGAATTGTATGAAGATCTGTAGCACTGTTGGTGTCAAACTACTAGAGCTGTTAGATAAATTAGTCCATCTTCAATATACATTTATATAGATTTCAAAAATAGCACCCTTGCAGCTGAAAGATTAGTCCATAGCACCCTTCTTCATTTTATTAAGCAGAAATCCAAGAGGTTACCGTATCACAACTGCATCCTTAGGTTTTCATGACATTAATCATGACATGACATTCATCATTTCCTCATCTACATTACTGACCCAGAAATGTCTGTCTCTCCTCTGCAAGATACTTTGTAAAAGAGAAGGAAGGATTTCATTTTTTAAATGTAATCTTAATAAAACAAGTTCTCCGCCTTATAAAATCTTCCCAGCTGAAACAAACTTTACTCTCCCACGGGGTGTAAGGAGGGTTATATATAGGAGTCGTTATTCCTTCAAATATTAATAGCATCTAGAAAGCCAGTTAACCAAAACCTCTAAAACGCATTCAAACTAACTTGGAGAGGTGGACTATCCTGCCTCTCTCTGTCCTTGGTAGGATTTAAACCATAAAACTAATTCTACCTGCATTCATGTTTTTATTTTGGAAAATATCTCCGTCCCTTCATTCACTTTTACAAATGCAGACAGGGATGTAGACATATAACTGTCAATGCAAAAAGTTTTGCCTTTTTTTTTTTTTACAAGATATCTTATTTTAATGTAAGTTAAATCTGACAATGTCAAGCTGAGGAACTGCATGTACAGGACACGCAGATGAAAGTTAAGTGTCTTTTTCTCTCTTGCACACCACTTTGAATCTCGTCCCTTAGAAGACAGACGCAGGAAAATGTCTTAGCATCAGAACCGGATTAGTTGCTAAAAGAAGTTAAAATGCAAGAGTAGTTTTTAAATCTTGAACAAAGGGCAATTAAACTATCAATCAGCTACCAAGCAAAGCAGCTGAGTTAGTGGCAGGCCATGTCATAGTATTACTTACCTTCTGAGATGGCAATTTAGCCGATGTGGTGTGAGAGCCAGGGAGTTCTGTTCCGAAATCTCACGCGAGGCAGTAGGGCTTGCTCGAGAGTCTGACTCCTTATTGCCCTTCTCCCGGTTTAAATAATCCCGTCCTAATTCAGTCCTCAAGACATCCGTTAAGACAAGTCTGGCATCCTTGCTATATGGATACAGTTGTGCAGAACAGTGGCATAAATGTTTGGTGACTTTGTGAACATATAGCTATTTGGCAGAAAATTGAATTATCTGGGTAAATGAGGGACACCAGGTATACTGAAAGCAACAGCGCATACTCCAGCATCATGATGTCTGTGCATTAATTCAAAGTGCAAGGCAAAACAGACAAGCAACTTCAGATCAGCCGGCTGCAAGCTTTTTCAACCTGGGGCATGAGCAGCCAGTCTCATCAAAAACAGTCTGACAATAACTCCAATCCAAAATGATTACATGCTACTGTATTAAGATAGTCAATTCAAGCTTTATCATCCTCTGGAGAAAATTTGTTTTGCAGCATAGTTCAATACAACAAGGCAGACATTGAGTTACACATTTCATAACACTCTCTGAAATCGTTATAACCTTTGTTTGTGGAGGATATTTAAGGTGATCTGATTTGCTCCGATTACTTTGCTACTTATTTTCATTAATATTCCCAGCCTGTTACAATTAACAGTACTGATGCTGCCCAACACAGAAGTGGGACAGTATGCTATTGAACAGGTTAACCATCTCCAAATTTTTTTAATGTTCTACTAAAAACTATCCAGTATTTTATTTACCTTTGAGTGTGATTGTACTCTTCGACCCCAAAGCAATCCAAGCACTGTTCAGAGGGCTGGGATTTGAGTTTTATGGTGCATGACCCAGACCTGTAAAAGCATAAACAAAAGGCTCAAAGGATTTAGGTTCTATTTCTTTAAATATGCAAAAAAATATGGAAAAAAAGGTCTGGGTCAAGGGCTATAAAATGCATAAATACTCAGCCCACTGAGTGCTCTGACTGCTTTGGGGCAGAAGAGTACATTTTTGCCCAAATGCTAAAAAATACTGGGTAGTATTTAGCTGTCCCAAGTCTACTATGAAAAGTAATAAAAAAGGATTTTCTTCTCTCCTAATCTTTTGTTTCTTCCAGGCAGATAACCACATACAAGGTGGAAGTTATTTTAGAATGCCTCTTTCCTACTGCAGCTCAGTATGAGCAAGAGAAAGATCGCTGAATGAGTTGTCTTTGAATAAGATGAAGCTTTCTTATGGACAGACCCAAAACAGGGTGCACGATAGTGTGTGGTTATTCAATATTAGACTGTAATATTCTGTTAATGTATGGAGTATTGTCTCGACATTTGCAAGTGTTTGATGCAGAGACACATCGAGAAAATGTACATTTAATCAAGTCTACCTCTACACCATCGCATAATGTACTAGAGTACATATAGTATGTCTAGTTAAATGACATTTGTAACCCTCTCTTATATGATAATGAAAGTACTGATGCATTGGCTTTACGTTAAATAAAATAACACTGGTAACTTAAAACAAACAATAATAATCACAAACTTATAGTAATCGGTTAAAATAAATAACAGGAATTCCTCATCAGTGTCCAACCCCAGTTTCTCCCTCTGCCTCAGTGATTAACAAGGGCAATATAACTGTCAGTGAGCCTGTAAAGCCGTCTGCAGCTTGTCAGTCCACACAGAACCAACTCGGCACGTTCGCTGCAATACAGGAACAAGACCACACTGAGATGCTGATTCTTTGTCACGGGTACTCAGGCAGGGGACAGGGAGAGGCTTAGCTCATCTTGCGAGCCTAGTCTGTTGCACTGTGAATTTGAAAGCTGCGGTTTCAGCCTTCAGCTTGGTTTCATATCCCTCTGCCCTTTCAAGACCCTGTCAGCCAGACCAAATTGTGAATAAGTAAATTTGTGAAGGAATTTGAAGATGTCAAGACCTTACTGTATGGACAAACTGTAAGCATTGTAGTTTATTACTGATGTGCAAAGACAAACCTAAATGTTTAAGAAACTGAGATCTTTCATTAAGAAATGTCTTGCTCACATTCATATTGCTTGAAAATCATGCATTTTTATCCCATGCGGCTCAAGTTGCCATTCAAAAATGCAACTTCAAGCAACTAAATCAAGCCCTTAACAGGCCTGCCCTAGCCTTGTCTGTGTGATTTTGATATCTTAAACCAACTGGAACTAGACAGAAATGAGATGGAGAAACACAAGAGATAGAATCATTTAATTAACCACCTCCCAGTAGGAGTAATGTGCAAGAATTATTGCCGTCTCCTCCGAGTTGTGTATGATCTTGCTAATTCATAATAAAATAAGAATTGGATGGCCCAGACACAGAAAGATACTTGTGTCATCATATTATTCTATTTCATTGTTCTAAGGAGTTGTAAACTGAAAGTTAGTCTTCACCTTCCTTAAAAATTAAGGTAAACTAAAATCAAGCATTTCCTTTAATGTTTTGCTTACCATCTTTATCAGAAACAACATTTTGAGTTTTCCCAATAATCTATGGAATATGGATACTGGACTACACATGAGATTTGCTGGGATTAAAAACAAGAAAAACAACAATCTGCATAAAAATGGATCCCAGCTGTTTCTAAACTTTGACCTTACATTTTGTATCAAAATATAAAGTACTGTGACTTCTTTTCAAGCTAGCAAAAAGCAATGAAGAGTAACACTGCTTGCAAGATTACCTTCTGCTACGTAGCTCTGAACCATGAGCTTTTATAATATATGACTGCAATGAGAATCTCGCAACATAAGACATAAATACATGCCAGATTTTGCATTAAAATTCTCCACCTCCCACGTGTCACAAGTCTGCAAGTATCACCCTTGATGACACTTTCCTTAACTGGCTGCAGAACTGCCACATCACTACCTAAACAGCATTCTCCTTGAGCTTGGACTTCTCTGACGTTTGTTTGGAAATTCTGAGAGGTGCAAGAATAAACAGCCCTTTTCTGCATTTAATAGAGGATGTGCCCCATCTGGTGTATGATGAAAAAACAGCACCCTCATATAAGGTTTCTGTGTTTAGCTGTTCCTGAATACAGTTCCTACTATGGGGCCCAAAAAATCAGAGCACATTTTACATTTGTAACTTTCTGATGTCTAATTTCTGAATAATGAAATATGAACATTTCATGTATGTTCCAAACTAATCAGAAACACAATCAGTTAAGAACTGCCAATTATTTTTTGTTCTACCTACCCAATTTGGAACTGCCAAATGCATGTTTGTTTTTTGAGTCTCGGCTCACGGCTACAAACTCCGAGACGATGCACAAAGGAGAATGAGGAAGTGCAGGCTGACACCTCTGACCTGCCCACCTTCGAGCCACCTATCTTTTAACGCAGCACGGGCAAGAGCCCAGGAGCGGAGGACCAGCACTGAATAGAGATGAGGCACATGCCTTACTGGCCGCACCACAAGGCTACAAGCACCCAGGAGGACACAGTGGTCACCGAAAGCCTAAGGAGCCCCTGTCATCCCACTATACTCTTGGCGGGCAAGGCAAACTGTGCGTCACCACTTGGGGAATCCACATTGGACCCCTGATCACACAACTCAACCTGCGCGGGGGTACAGGCACACACTATCAGGATTCGACAAGTGCTGGAACATGCGCGAGCCAAGTTCTAACAAAATGTCAGAGCACAATAAACACTGACGTAATTACAAAAGTACATAATACTAAAACTGTGTATTGAAAACCGTACACCCATAATGAACAGGATGAAAGGCTCCTGCCAGGCAAAAATAAAAAACAAAAACGATAGAACTTTTACGATAATCAGAGAGAAAAGGGATGATCGCAGTCCAATATCAGGAGAACACCAACCACATGGTGATTTTAGACTGGAGTTTTCATTTTGCGCTGACCACTAAATCAGCAGTCAACCAACATATATGTTTAAAAAACTTGCATGAACTTATATATACACAAATACTCCACGATACTAGTAGTAATGAAATTTTGATTTAGAAAAATTAGTTCAAAAGCACCAACAGTTCAATATTAATGTTGGTAAATATCCTGATGGTGCCATCCTGATTCTTACCATACTCGCATCTCCCTGTCTGCTGCATTTGGGCTGTTGTGCCGGTTGAGAGAAATCAAGGCTTGAGATCTTCTGCCACTGTTAGAAATCTGACTCCAGTGTAGCTATTAAAAAACAAAATGACTATTAGGAAAAAAAAACTGTACTGTTTGTACTCTGGACGGGATTTTAATTTTTCTAGAGAATGAAGGTGGAATGGATTAGCTCAGTGACTGAAATATCTCTGTATATAACATGTCTTCTCTATTTATATATTTACAAATATTAATTGCTACTTCAAAGTCATGACCACAAGCCTTACAGCAACAAAATGTGAAACAAAAATATGGCTTGAGATCTACACACGTCAGAACATCACAGTTCTCCTAAGGAGCAGAAAAAAACATGCATTTGACATGAAAACGTCAAATGCAAAAAAAGACGTATTCAAGTGTTAATCATTTACCACTTTTAAATAGACTCCTCCCCGTGGGTAACATACTTATGATGCCCCTTGGAATTCAGTTAGATTGCACTAACCTTTTTGTAACCTGAACCTGAGGTCTGAGAAAGAGGAGACTGCATCACCACGCTCGGAGAGTCAGAGGATGACTTCCTTTTGGGAATCCTGAAACTCCCTTTCAACTGAAAAACAGAATGGTGGGCACAGGCCTGATATTTCCATTTTCTGTTACATATGAATCTAGACTAGATAGAAAGGTATATAGAGGGGGTTCCTGATATGTCACCGCTACATAGATTCTTCCTCACTATCGTTTTTGTTAGTAAGCAGCTAGGGGACAACTTAAGCAACAACAACTTTTATCATATTTATGTTGGCTTCTGTTTATAAATTATACTGGAGTTTAAATGGTACAAAATTTAACAAACCCAAACCGCTGCTCCAATTAAACTATTTTCTTTCCATAATAAGCATACACTCTAAAGAACAAGTATCGCTTTAAAGATGACCTTATATATTTTTAGCTGGGAATATTTTTTCTCCTCACATTTTGTTTTAATTTAGTTGTACCCTTTAAAGGCTAAAGCAGAACAATTAACACAAACACGATGAGAGGAAACCTTGAAAAGCATACTGTCTCAGTAAATATAAACTTTGAGACATCACCTACTAATAAAATTATTTTATGTGCATGTACTGACTTGGCCCTTGGCTGAATTCAGTAATATAAGATGTAAATGTTACAGGAAAATGAATGACCACTATGACGTAAACCAATCTCAACTGCAAACTAGTGTCAGGAACGTAGTTTAATATTGCCTATCAGAGATGCATCCAAAAAACCTTGCTATTGTTGTATGACTACCAGTTAGGACAATTTACAAGAAACACCCCACATTTCAAACAAAAAGCATCTGATTTCTGCCCCAAAACCATCAAACTGTCATGGGTTCTCATGAATAAGACCAGTTCTGAAAACAAACCTTAGGACTCCCCAATTTGTCCTGCAAAGGTGAAAGACCCAGCACTTTCCTGTGATCCATTGCTGACCTCACGTCTCACAGGGTTTAATACAAGTATCTCCTCAGAGCACGTCCAAAAATCTTCAGGGAAGGTCACTGTTATTGAAGCAGAAAAGGGTATATTTTATTATAACCATGAAGATAATACTAGGAATGCATGTTGCATTTTCTTGTGCAAAAAAAAAAAAAAACAGGAAATAATTTCCCTTAGGCAGCTGATAAACAAAAGGATCTGAAATGTTTTTAGGTTATTTAGAACAATGCTGAAAACATTTCATTAATTTTAATCCTGATGAGCACCCCTCCTGAAGACCTGTGAAATGTTAGTATTACATTTATTCAGGCTAGTCAATACAAAGCAACATATTAACATATGCCATCCATCATGTTTAAACACATGTATCCATCATGTTTAAATACAATAATACTTAGACACTGATCAAAGGAGCAGTTTATATTCATGCATTTTCATTTGTTGCATCTTCTTTTAAAGCATTCTGTGTCATCTAATAATTCTCACTCTAATCAAGTATTCCACACTTGATGGCCAAAATATTAGGAACTCCCAGCTACTCTACACTGACAGTGACAGGCATCACGTGCTTGGCTTGAAGGACACAGCCAAGACTTTCATCATCCTCATGAACAGAACAATCGCTACATCTGAAATGTATTCAAAGCAGGTGCTGTAGGAGTTCTGTGAATTTACTGGAACAATTTACTAATTGTAACAGTAATTCACATGGTATTTGGCTATTAGGATTCAATCGGAATCATCCCAGAATAATAACTGGAATACCCACACGGGTTCAAATACACAAAACACCTTTATTATTACATAAGACTGTGCATATAAAAACATATGACAATCTGCCTGGATACAGAAGGCTGATCGTATTGTGAGGGTTACCAAAATGCAGCATATATCGCAATCACAAGATACAAGACAAGGAATATGCATTTAGTATACCAACTTGGATATTATACAAAATACTGCCTTTAAAACAGCTGATTAGCTAGCTTCTAAATATACATGAAGTTAATTTCAAGGACATGATGGACAGACAGAAGTTACTTCCAATTGTAAAATTAACACCTTAGTATGGTCTGCAAATTCAAATGATAAATTAAAACCTGTAACAGATCAATATTATTAATAGTGTTAATAACAAAAAACGTACATAAAATTATTAAATGCCTATTTATTATTACGGTCAGATTCACTGGATACTTCAGAATTAACAGACTCCTATTGAAACGTAATGTGACATTTGTAGCCTTTGAACGGAAGTCAAATCATTAATCATTTACTTTGAAATGAAACCTTCTGTCACTAACAGAACAGCCTGTGAAAATGAAACTATATGATGGAAGAAACTTGAACAACTTTAAATGAAACATTCAAACAAGTTTTCATAACATAAAAAGGATTGAGCAGTTTATCATGGACATTTTTTAGAACTGGGGTTTTATAGAATGTAATGTAGCTAATAGTACAATCGTATTATTTGAGGGTCGACACTAGTATTTAACAGAAGTACGAAAAACAATAAAATAGTAATGAAAATGCAGTATTAAACTATAAAAAGGCTATATGTGAAATATTCCACGGAACCAACATATACTAATGCCGACACGTAGTGTAGATCAGTTTTTTTAGTCAGCTATAAAGACCTTTAAACAGGAAGCGGCAGCCTACAACATTGGCACCGCTACTAACAAAATACTGCTTATCGAAAATAAAAAAAACGTCATCCTAACAAATACCTCTGTATAAATCCCCTCTGATTAGTTTTCAACCCATCCTCTACCAGGAAGCTGGCGTAAAACAACTCTGAAATCACCTGAACGCCGGGTCTTCCGTGCACAAATACAAAATTTGTTGTAGATAATAACAGTATCAGGTTTACATTAGCAGTTCCAGCTACTTACCAGTTTCCGTTTGGAAAGCATTAGCAAAAACCTAAAAAGTTTTTAAAAATTAATCCTATGTATGATACAAGTTGTAAATAATGGGCATAAAATACATAAAAACAAATGCGTGGATCTACCAACCAACAAAAAAAAAAACAACACTCTTTAATTACTTCCTGTTTTTACCGGATGTGGTTATACAAGAGAGAACTAGCCAATCCGCGCAGCCAATGTAGGCGGAATCTAGAATGAAGCTTCCGGTGGTCGCATGCTTCGGGGTTTTAGTAGCTGCGATACTACTGTATATTTCTTCTAAACTTTACTTAACACCGAATAATACAAACAAAAGGAGAAAAGGTATACAAAAAAAATATAAGTGCACAAAAAACACACAAAACAATACAATGTCGGAGGTCATTTTCTTTTTCCCATATTACATTTTGCAGAGTATAACGTAATACCAAAATCCTTAAATCAACGTTCATATTTAAATGCTTAAAGATAGGGTTTTGCATGTCTATCTAAAACAACTTTGTATTTATACAGGTAACAAATGTGCCACAGTTCATTTTACAGCCTACCAGAGCACACAAAAATCATTTAGTTTATAGTGAATTTATAAAGTGTTAGTTTCACAGGATAAAACCTATGAACAATTTTAAATGTTATTTCTTTAGCCTTGTTTGTAAGAAAATATCTGTCAGGGGTTGTCCAAACTAATTTCAAATTAATATTTTCAAATATCGCATTCTAGATGGATATACTGCATCTGGTCAGTACCTGGATGGGTGATCTCCTGGGAAAGCTAAAGTTGCTGCTGGAAGAGGTGTTAGTGGGGCCAGCAGGGGGCGCTCACCCTGCAGTCTCTGTGGGTCCTGATGCCCCAGTAGAGTGATGGTGCCATCCTTCTGTTGAGATGTAAAACCAATGTCCTTACTCTCTAAGAGCATTAAAAGTACCAGGGAATTTCTTAAAAATCCTGGCCAAATTTCCCCCTGGCCTTAACTAATCATGACCTCCTAATAATCCCCATCTATCAGTTGGCTTCATCACTTTGTTCTCCTCCACGCTGATAGCTGGTGTGTGGGGAGCGTACTGGCACACTATGTCTGCCATCCAGGTGGGGTTGGTGGTGGAGGGGATCCCCATTACCTGTAAAGAGTTTTGAGTGAAGTGTCCAGAAAAGAGCTCTATACGGGCAAGGAATTATTATATACACGTAAGAATGAAGCAGGGCTTACACAAATTCCTCATGTGGTATTGCATTTTTTTAGCGTTTACTTCCACACAATCCAATAAGAGATTAACTGTAAAACCTGGAAGGTCAACCATAACAGAGTTAAAATTACCTTTAAACAAACTCACCCCATTCTCAGAAACAGCATCAAAGACCATGGAGTATCTCAGAGTTGAAATTTGGAATCTATCCACAAATTCAGCATAAGTCAACAATATGCCCTCTGTGTTTAACAATTCGCCTAATAACCAAATCATATTATTATACCATGTCTACGGGAATATACTTGATGTCTTTGTTATTCCATATATCGTATTTATGTGGTGAGAAATTATCTTTAGATATTACATTTCAAGAAAGGAAGACGCCTCTGTTAAACTTATTAACTTAATCAGAATTGTTCTTATATTAAAACTACACTTAAACAGAAGGTCAATATCACCTATATGTTCAAAAACCAAATTGGGAGGATACTGCAGTATACTGTAGGTCTCATGTGCTATAATGCAAATTCCCTTACCCATTGCCCTTAATAAATACGTGTCTAGCTGCATTACAAACACATCACGTATGTGAATTACAATTAATAACGTTAATAGAATTGTTTTAAAATATTATTACAATTATTATTTTAAAAAAGAACAACCTTTGATTACTTTATTGTACGACACATTTAAAGCCAGTGTGCATCTGAGAAAGTTATTTTTTATTTCGAACATTTACCCACTTTTGCCAAAGAGATTCTTAAATTTACTCGCTTTTAAAGTACAGTATATCAGAAATGGCCCTGTCTGGCGATATTTACTTTTTTTCCCAACCCCCCACACGGGCCTCATTTGTATGAAAATATCTGAGTTCGTTTGATTTTTTTAATGTTGAAGGTTGAAATAAGTGAAATAATAATGACATTTTAAATCCCGAAATGTTTATTATTTCGGCAAGTCAGTGAAGTGTAGGGTAATGGCGGAATTCCCGTCTCTCATCTTAAAGGGAAAACTAAATTTGACGAAACAACTTTTCACCACGTAAGAGGCTCTCCAAGGTTCGAAGAATTAATTAAAGCGAACAACAAGTAGCATCACATTTTTATTGTTAGCCTTTCCTATAGACTAATAATTGAAACTAATAATACTGGGTACCAGGTATAAATACAATCTCATGACGTTTTTGTGTTTGACGCCACTTCATCTGAACCCCGAGGTTTGCGTCCCGTTGAATTTGACTGGGCCAGTTTTTCCACAGTAAGTCTGACCTTATTTTGGTCTCTTTCATTTCCCATTCAAAATCATCGATTTTGCTCTTAGTTGCAACCAATGGCAGTTTTGCCAGTCACATTTGTTTTTTACTAATTAACGCACAGTTATTATCAAGTATCAAATGGGAATTAAACTGCGAGGTTAAGTTTAAATTCGTACAAAAAAATGTTTATAAGGACGGAGTGGCTAGTTTCTCACTCTTTTGCTCAGACATTATGTTGTCGCGGGACGATTAGTAGTTAAATGTTTCAGACATTTTTATTAAAGCTCATTTTTCAGTATAAAATTGAGAAAATGAAGACCTGCTGACAACAGACGCTGCACTCTTTCGATTCGTTTTGAATTGTAACTATTCGATAAGTGAAGGGTCTTTGTGGATTTCTTTTTTATTTGACTTATTTCATGTCACTGTCCACATGAATCAGATCAGAACTGTTCCTGTTGTAGCAGTAACTGTTGTAACATACTATGATTCTTTATTAATAAGAGGAATGCCTTTCTCATTCGAGCATTTCTTCCTCGAGAATGACATTTTCCCGTGGCCTCTATTTAAAAAAAGGGTGAAAGCTAATGAAATATTACTTGAATTAATACATTTATTATTTGGTTCAGGTAATGCTAAAAAGAAAAGGTATTAGTACTTGATAGACTGTATGGCTAAGTAGTCCTTGCGTGCAGAAAACACTATTGAATGTCAGGGAGGGATGTTTATTTCAGGTCCTGAGAAGAAACTCTCATGTTAAACTTTTTTTTTCCCCCAGCTCTGACAATGGACGAATGTGCCGAAATGACGAGTGGTGATGCCCCCCCCGACTTCCAATACTGTTTCAACCAGTACGGAGAGCTGAGGCATCGAGTGAGCCAGGAGCCCTTCGTGTTCAAGTACGACAAGGGGGACATGGAAAGCAACCAGCGCCAGCACCGCGCCCTCCAGCAGTGCGTCACCGAGCACGTCTACAGGCTCCTGGAGCAGGAGTGTCGCTTGCAGAAGATCTGCATCCCCGTGGATGCCGCAGACCGCCAGGGCGGGGGTGCCTTCTTCATGAGCCCCGGGGCTCTGTGTCAATCGAAGACCCTGGTGGTCCTCATCCAGGACCGGGGAAGCATCCGTGCCGGCCAGTGGAGCAGGAGGATGATCGTCCGCGAAAACGTGGAGAGGGGCAGCCAGATCCCCTACATCAGGAGAGCTCTGGAGGGCGCGTGCGAGGTCGTCGTGATGAACCCCAACGGCGGCACGGTGGAGCCACCACGGGGGGGCGGCGGGAGCCCCGAGGCGCACGTGCGGTACGTGTGGGACCACTTCGTGTCCCCGAGCGCCGCCGGCCACGTGGCGGTGGTCGCCCACGGCTACGGGGGCCTGGCCTTCGTCGACCTGCTGTCGCGCCGGCCCCAGGCGGTGCGGAGCCGGGTCTACGCCGTGGCCTTCCTCGACTCCTGCCACAGCCCGTGGCACCAGGCGCTGGACGCGGACAGCCGCGAGTGGCTCCGGAAGCACTGCCGGAAGTGGGTGCCGAGCGCCAAGCCCCTGGACCGGCCCGTCGGCCCCCTGAAGGTCGACTGCCCCCAGGTGTCGGCGGGCACGGAGGACCGCGAGGCGGCCCCCTGGCGCTGCATGGGCTCCGTGTTCCGCTTCTTCGCGAGGGCCCTGAAAGCCAAGACAACCGTGCCCTTCTCCCGGCCGGCCATCATCACCAGGAGCAAGAGCAGGAGGGAGCCGCCTCAGGCGTGAAGGGTGGCCGGCGGCTTTCCTTTTGGAACCGAGGTGGAACTTCCCCTCCAGACTCTCAGTAAAAAAAAAAAAAACAACCCCTGTGAGGTATTTAAACAAGATGAGTCAGCTAAAATTTCCACAACTTTATTTGTTTTTTTTTTTCCACGTCCTGTCCAATGTTTGTGAAACTTAGCACTGGGAATTCGGACCTTTCCAGTAAAGTTTACGTTAGGTTGTTTTCCTCATTGGGGGGATAGAAATTGGTTATTTAAATTGACTAGTAAAGTACTGTGCTTAAGTACTGGTATAGAGAACAGATGGTCGGACGATAAAAATGAGGAAGTGCTGGGGATCTATTCATTCCTCGAGTATATGAAGGAAACTCGAACTGCGGTGCAGCTGGGCTCCCTGGCTGCTGAGTGGTCTGAATCGGAAAGCCTGTATTCCACGGCTCTGTGCTTGACCAGTACACCTCGAGGCACCTCATTTCAGACCTGGAAAGAAATGTCGGTGAGGCGAGAGTCTATGTACAATTTAAAGGTGAAGGAATAATAAAAAGAATTGTGGTCGCAAATCTTTCTGTCCGCCAGTATAGTTCTGTGAATGTGTCCAGTGCTTCCCTTGCCAAGGGATCCCACAGTGGTTAAGTACAGGAAGAGAAGCACTACCCTAGGTGATGTGCAGCAGCTCATGATCTAGCTCCCCTAGGGAATTACATAGCAGCAGATCAGCAAGAGAAGTGAGAAACCACTCATCACTTGAGCCAAGGGGAGGAGGTACCTAGGCCAGTGTGCTTGTCCAGCGTGGAATCTGGAAGAAGAATCGAGATATGGCTTCATCAGTTGAATTCAGAAGGACATTTTAGTGCAGATTCTGCACAGACAAAGTGGAATTTAGCCTCTCCAGCTCTGAACTTGAACTGAGTACTAATCTAGCCATCTGTTTTCAGGGCTAGAGCTATCACGTGTATACAAGACCACGTGCTTATCATTAACATATGTTTTAAACCGAAAGAGGCTTTTATAGATGGTATGTAAAGTTGCAGTGTGAAGCTCTCAAACACTTCCCCCATATTCACATCTTCCGGATCACACACGCACACAAAAAAAAACAAAAAAGTAAATTTGGCAAGATCTACAAAGGTCTATATCTGACCAGGACAGCCTACAACTAGAAACCAAGGTACCCATGTTCCTCCTTCAGTTCAGCCCTTATTACCAAATAACCAGTATAATCGGTAAAAAAAATGGATGCTTAATTTATAACTTGTAGTTAGTGATTAAAAAGATAACAAGATAGACTTAATTAAAATTATGACTGTAAACCAGGGATGCATGATATTGACAAAGCTGCAGCAGACATTTTAAACAAAAAACATTCTTATAAGAAACCATTGTGGACTGGTGCTATAGGGCCCGATACTCAGGGGAAAAGATCTCCAGTCCTACAGAAGTAAAGAAAATAAGCACCCTTTTACATTCCAGATCTTGATTACATTCAACAAGAAAAAAACAGATTGGTGTGAACACAAGAGAGGTTGTTTCACGTATATCAGAATATGCACTTATGACAAATTCCTAAACCTGCAGGAATGACAGTGTGGATCTCCTTTCTTGGTGTGTGTTGCAGTGAAACTGACTCTGCTGAACAGGCAGGAACAGGGAACTGATTCAGTGTCTCCACCTCTGTAGATCTGGCAACATGTTCTGGAGATGTGATCCCATCTCATGATCCACATCAGAGATGCCACTGGTGGGGCAATCCAATACAGGTCTTCATACTAGGCACATCTCAAAGGTCACACTTTATCACAAAAACCATACCTCATCAACCAACTAGAGGAGCTCCACCCCGATGTAAAGCTATTTATTCACTGCAAGAACTGACTGATCTGAAAAGCTATGTTCTGCTAGGCATGCGTTTCAAGGGTAGCTGAGTATTGTAAATGGCAGATAACCGAGGATATGTTAACTGAACTTCAGCGTACTACATGTGCTGGTTATTAACTTTAATAGCTAAATCAGTGGAATAAGGTCAAGGGGATGAAGTCACAAAGGGGCAAATAACCGAAATGTTTTAGGGTACAGCCAGGGTCTCAGACTTAGGGTTCTCTGATCTTGCTCCACGGGAGCTCTCAGCTACAAAGTTTAATAATCGGGATTGCAGTACTTTAAATCAAGTTGTCAGGTGCTGTAACTCTACACCTCTACCTTTAGGGAACTAAATGTTGTGAGCAATCAACTGTAAAAAACATATAATTATCAGGTTCATTATATGACTGCTCAGGCTGGAAACCACAGCAGACAGGACCACCCAAGAACTGAATTCTCCTGCTGACAGTACCAAAGGTTTTGCAATGCAACACACTCCAGATCATGAGATATACATTACCACCATCACACTACATTTTAAAGCACAGCCGTCTCTTTATTATCAAACACAGATCCATACTTAACATATTTTAATTGTTAAAAAACAAATAATTCATAAATCATCTGAGCCAAAAATAGAAATCCTTTTCACTTTATAAGAGTTTCCAACTGAGCCCAAATCTGCCTTTTATTTTGAACATGTAATCAACAATTGCTATCATCATAATGAGTTTTATATTTGCTTTTTTTTTTCAGATTCACTTGAACATCGCCAAGGCATTGTAAGTGAATGCACTTGTGGTTGTGTGTGGTACTACAGTACATTAAACGAAGCTTTTTGACCAAAGGTTTCAAACGTGTTTTAAGGCTCTTTCATTTTCAATGTTTAATGGTAACAAAGAAATAATTGAGTACTACACTCACTTAGCTTTTAATACAAACCGAAAACATCTGGAACACTGTTGAAAAAATACAACAAGCCAAAAAGGCCACTTTTATCCCTCAGGAAACATTCATTGCTTTTTCAGAACCCGTGTTTCATAATAGATTCAAAATATGAAAATATGCAGAAGAAAACGGGGTGAAAGCATGTCTGCCTCTTATGCATCATTCAGAAACACCTGACGTTCTCCTTTTTAAAAATAGGACAGGAAGGGCAAACTGAATGACGCACCAGTATGATTGTTTCACATATCGAGAACAAAATGTCTGACTACAGAAGCCCAGTTACAGCAAATGACAAGCTACTGTGTCCCACCGTTCCCAGACACATACTACTAAGGGATGTGAAAGAAAGTCACACCAGACAGCTGAACTCCTCTTCACAGGTGGCAGAATTTAACACGAGAAAGTTCCTTTCCTTCAGCAGTACACATTCCCAAACTTTTGTCTTCCTTCATGCAAAGTCCTGTTCTGTAGTCACGACCCTGCAGCATCGGAATATAAACTGCAACCCAACCTATATTCCTTGGTAAAGAAGATCGTATTTCGGAACATCCCTGGGGTCGATAGGGCTCTGCACGATGAGCTTTCCTCTCATTGCCCCTCGATAAATCACCTCAATCAGGTCGACAAAGTCCTGCTTGGTTTTAAAACTTCCCACAAATTTGGTGTGATCCGGAGACCTAAACAAATACCAGGAGAAAGAATGATAATATGAGTGGAGACCTTGAGCGGCAAGAAGTCTAAACAAGGACAGAACCGTGCATTCCCCCCTGAACGGTACAAATAATTGTATTTATGAAAGAACGTCACGGCAAAAAAAACAAACTTCACAGAACACCAACAAGGTATAAAATCAAACATCTACATCAAGTCGTTTTACATGTCTTGAATAGGTCACTCTACATTCTTTGCCTTCCCAAGCAGCAAATTAACCAATCTTCAGCTGTCCTTACCACCTTCTACAGGTGCGCCACTGAGAGTGTGCTCACGTGTGGGATCACAGCAGCTCACTGTCTGACCGGAAGGAGTTACAGGGGGTGGTCAGGTCAGCCCAGTCCATCACTGGGGTACAGCTCCCCTCTACGGTGGACATTTTTACAACTCGCTGTCTCAGGAAGGCTGGGAGTATCGCTAAGGACACCAGTCATCCTGGTTTCTCACTTTTCTCCCCCCTTCCCTCTGGTCAGCGTTATAGGAGCATAAAGAGACAAACCTCCAGATTCAGAGACAGTTTCTTCCCACAAACTGTCAGATTATTTCACTGTACCCCTAGCACTTACTCACACTGCTGTTCTTTTTCAAGTTGTAGGTTTTTTAACTCTTTGCTGCTGCTGCTGCTGTTGTTCTGTGTTTATGTTCTGGTATTTCATTGATGCCTTTGTGTGGGAGTATACATGAAAATAACCATTTAATTGCACCTGTGCAATTGAGCTGAAACGTCATACAACACCGTACTAGAAACAAATCATTCATTTGAATCTCATGTGTTATTCTGGAAGAGAGGTTGAGAGGATTCGAAGAGCGAAAAACAAACGATTACGTAAAGAATGTCTCCCCGTCCCTTCCCCTTCATACAATCTATTACATTAATAACATCTCACCCATAATCCACCTTCATGTGTTGCCCATTGAAGAAGAAGACTGTGGACGGGATGTAGCTGATGTCGAAATACCTCGTATAGACCGGCACTTTATCGACATCCACCAGGTAGATCGAAGCCATGTTGCTGAGATCATGCGATGTCTTTGACAGCTTTAAATGAAGAAAATAATAAAATAACCCCGTATTTATTATAACAGACACACATTTTCAAATGAATTTCTGCATTTGTCTTCTGCGTTCGATCTTTAGTTGTACGTCGTTAAGTTATAGCTGTAAAGCCCACAATGATCTGAAAATGAAAAAAGGGGAGCTCTTACTATCTCATCAAGCTGCATACAGACGGAGTCTTCATCCCTCCCAAACCGCAACACCAAAACTTTCTCGGCCACACTCTTAATAACCTCGTCGATATCCTTCTTACAGGATAGCTTTGGTAGAAACCAGCTCATCTCTTGTCTTAAAACGGAGGCATTGCTGTAAAAAAAATGGAAATAACAGTTTTACACCATCATAACAAAAACAGTAGTGAAGTGACTTCTATTTGTGACCCGGAATTGATCATCGCCGCGTACGGGAGTTTTATTTGTTCCGACTGGAAACACGTTTGTTTCGTTGTTTTTTCTCTCTCTAATAAAGCCACTGTGTATCGACCATTTATAAATCCGGCTGCGTAGATGCAGTGAAGTATTCGAGCTATTTAAAAAGTATTGGAGTCTACGGGTTAGGGGTTCTTAAATTTTTCAAGCATATATTACTAACGTATTTGCCTCCTGTTTCCCTGCATGTGAGGGACATCACAAACCGAGGGCAGAGTTTTTCCCCTGACCTTAATCCGGCATGAAACTAGAGCATGAGTAGTGTTGAACCCTCTTGAGTGCTGCAGTGCAATTAGACGTAAGTGTTTGAAACAAAACAATTAATGATATTCGAAGTAAGAGAACGGAGCTTTATTTCGGGGGAGGGTGGTAATTTAGCGCGTTAAAGAATTTGAGGTTCTTGTACAAACTCCCCCTTTTTAACAGAATAACGTGTGATGGGTTTGCTTGTGAGCTTGTGTCGGTGAATCATTTTCTGAAATTATTCTCCCTGTAAGCCATCAGTGAAATAGAAATTATTTAGCCGAAGAAAACTAAAGTAAAAATCTAGCCACCCCGAAATCTGAAAAGGAAACGAAATGCAGAGTGATGTGTGCTCTTCACAGAGTGTGCTAATACGATGTGATGTACTTTAAGTACTATATGGGGGGCGTGGATACAAACCATAATTCAGTCTATATTTGAGCACTGAAGTGTGTGTTTCCTGTAAAACCAAGCTTAATGTGCTTATAAACTTGAATGTTTCGAGATTTTGGCTGCCGTCGCATCATTCAGGTGGGGCTGCACACTGGTGGTGGTGGAGGGGATCCCCATTACCTGTAAAGAGCTTTGAGTGGAGTGCCAAGAGAAGCGCTATATAAGTGTAAGCAATTATTATTAATTTCCTTCTTAATAAATGCCTTTTTTTTTTTGCTTCTGAACAGGCACTGTTAGAAAACAGCAGTAGAATGAAGCTCCTAAAGCCACAGTTTCTCAGTGTGGTCTGGAGGCCGGCCCTGGCTGGCAGGCGGGGGGGCTGGCTGCAGAGACCCCGCGGCCCTCCTGCCCCCTGCCGAGCCCTGTCCGCATCCTGGGGGCTCCGCAAGGAGGCCAGCCAGCCCTCAGGCGGGAGCGCGGAGGGGCTGGACCTGGGCGCGTGGAAGGCGGTGGCGAGGTCGGAGGCGCGGGGGGGCGCTTCCCCGGAGGCAGGGGGGCAAGAGGGGGAGCCCTCCCCGCTGCAGGCCTCCCGGGAGCTGGTGGAGATGTGGAGGCAGGCGGGCAAGCTGGTGCCGGAGCACCTGGCCGAGGACGAGCTGCGGGCCTTTGGGGAGCTGCCCACCAAGTCCGCCAGGAAGAAGTACCTGAAGTACCTGGCCATCAAGGAAGGGCACAAGAAGGCCAGGAAGGAAAAAAAGCAGCACAGGGCGTCCGAGAGGGCCGCCGAGATCTCCAGCAGGGACCCCGAGACGGAGGAGGAGCCCAGCGGGGGGCGTCTCAGGAACACCTTCCTGCTGCAGTTCTGGCAGCGCTCCGTGGACGCCCTGTATAACTGGCGGGCGGCCCAGGCGATGCAGTTCGGGCAGCCGCTCGTGTTCGACATGAGCTACGACCAGCACATGTCCCGGAGGGAGGTGGAGAACACCGTCTCTCAGCTCCTGGAGTGCGAGGGCTGGAACCGCCGGTCCGCCGACCCCTTTCACCTCTACTTCTGCCACCTGAGGCCCGGGTCGGCCTACCTCCAGGAGCTGGCGAGGCGCTACGGCCCCGCCTGGGAAAGGCTGCTGGTGACCGCCACCGAGCAGCCGCATGTGGACCTCTTCCCCAGGGACCGGCTGGTGTACCTGACGGCGGACTCGCCCCACATCCTGAGAGCCTTTGACCACAACAAGGTGTATATCGTGGGCGCGATGGTGGACAGGTCCATCCAAACCGGCCTCTCGCTGGCCAACGCGAAACGCCTCAAGCTGGCCACGGCCCGGCTGCCCTTAGATGAGTACCTGCAGTGGGAGATTGGCGCGAAAAACCTGACTCTGGACCAAGTGATGCGCATCTTACTAACGATGAAAGACACTGGGAAGTGGGAGGAAGCGCTGAGGTTTGTGCCCAGTAGGAAGCACGACGGCTTCTTTGAGGCACAACGGCAGACACAGCAATGTGGGCGATCTGGAGCGTCGTTTAACAAACAGAGGACTTTCGTGAGGCAGGAGGCCTTCCAGCCGAGAGCAAGAGCAGCTTTCAAAGGCAGCAAGAGCGGCGAAACCGCTTCCAGGGCGAAGACAAAGAAGAGCTGGTGGGAAGAAGATTAGCCCTGATAAATCTTGAACCCGGCGCTTCAGAATTTCAGCCACTGCCTTCTAGTGAAATGAGATTGTAGAACCTTTTGGGTTTTTTTTCTAGTTATGCAGATTTAAGAAATGGTATAGAAAATAAATCATGTGCTCTATATACTCAATAAATCGTGTAATTGTAATAAAGCATTTCAGCAATTTGGTCTGCTGTTTTTTTTCTTTTTTAAAGTAAAAACGTTTGGAAGCATATACTATCTTCGCTACTCCTTAATAAAAAATGAAATGAGTTGGTCTTGCATCTCACACATATCATTTATTATTGTATATGAATATATTAAATAGATACAGCACATTCATGCAAGCTCCTGTTATATATATTTGTACACATATTCATAGTACACCCAGTTACAAAACGGAAGTAATTATTGGTGCCTTTACAGCTGCAAGTATAGTCCAGTAGGAAATAATCTGCATAATTTATAAAGATCATCAGTAGTGTTATCATATGTAAATATCCCCAGTATTAATCAAAAGCTAAAAAAAGATAATATTGGTAATATGTTTGTATTATACGAGAGCATAAAGAAAGGTTTTATGACATGAAGATCATAAGTAAAAAGTTTATTTTTACAGTTTTAAATTGTGCGTTGTGTGATCTGTAATGCAATGAAAGTGCTTATTTTAACGATAGCCTGTTCAAAGCCACTTTCTCCTTTGTGATATTATGTTCACCATAATTCCTGATAATTTATAGAGAATTCTGTGTACAGAAAAAAATGTTTTAAAGTCTGTAATGCAAACTGACCCTGGTTAAACAATCAGTAGCCAGTCAATCTAAAGTTTCTGAATCAGTACTTTATTCCTTTTGTAGAGGGTACCCTTTAACACACCATCAAAAGACCCTGTTACCTTCAAGAGTGTAGACAACCAACACAATGAATTAGGATCAACCGAGAGTAGGTCACAGGAAAGGGAGTTAACAGATGACGAATAGAACACAAGCAGAAGGAATTTAAGGTTGGCCCGAAATTGGACAAATGGTCATTGCAGTATAACTTTGTATCATATTTAAGATTAAAGTATAAAGTATGTTGTACATTCAGAATGAAAGTTGGTTCAGGAGACAGCATTGGTGAGTTAAAGTCGTATGAGTAAGCATAGAAATTAATTAAAATTGCATATCAAAGAAATAGATTGTGATAATTTTATATATGTGGCCTTGTGTAAATATAACATTTACCATATATTGGTAAACAAAATGATGACGAGCTGTTCTAAATTGAACAAGCCAAGGTCAAGATTAACTTTTAGCCACTATTTTAAGGGTTTCCCTTCTGAGTGGGCGACCAAAGTTATAAGATACACATGCACAAGCCAGTATCACTCTCGAAAACGAAACCGACGCTTTCTGCAGACCCAAACGAGCCGAGCTGGAGCTCGTGCCTTTGGCGTCGGGCCAGACATCGCGCAGGCGCAGCATCCGGGTCCTTTCCGGAAGTCGGGCGGCAGTTGGGCCGGACTTGGGGAGGGCTGGCGTGACGTCAGCTCGGTGAGTGTTCGTCAGTGAAAATGGCCGATGAGAAGCGAACCGACGAGAAGCTGTTGGATGACGGAGGTGAAAATCCGAATTTTTTCCGCATACGTGTGTAACTCTTAGCAGATCGGCGATGCAGCAATGAAATGTAGAGCTCCGTGGCTGGAAGCGTCCTTTGCCGTGGCGTTAGCGTGGTTTCCGCGCTGTAGCGCAGGGCTAGATGCCGAGTGAACAGCCGTGAGGCGGCGGAGGCCTGACCCCGAGCTGTTCACGCTGAGGTGGTTTGTCACGCACCGTGGACACAAACCCCAGCTTTGTCGTCGGCCGGCTCATCTTTAGGTTTTGCGGGTCTGGGGCTTCGTTTCCCAGACTCCAGGGATCGGGAAATGTTAAAGGTTTTAAGGTACCCCGGTCCTAAGCGGTTCGACGGTAGTTGGTGTATTTTTAATGTTAAATCATTCTTTTAACTTCCGCAATTCGTACCGTACTGTAGTGTAAAACTATTTTTTTCCGCGTTACCTTTTCGGCTAATGTTGAAAAATTTCGCGGAGGAAAGTCCAGTAGGTATGGCTGCTCGGGCTACTTAGATTGTACCTGGTTTGTTACCAAAGAACAAAACAATGCTTATTTAAATCTGGCATGCTGTAGGGAGGCAGTAATGTATTTTATTGATTGTCACACACTACATTGGTTTGTTCTAGCTACCTTCAGTTGGCAGCACTTTTAACGTCAGTTTTCATACCAGTGTTGTGTTTTCGGGATTGGCGAAAGACATGATTGGCAACCAATTGTATCATTTCTTTCCAAGAAAAACTCGATGCAGAAATGTGGTGCGTTATTATACACCATGAATGCATTACATTTTTAAGTGAACAGTTATATTAGGCAAATATTAATTAAAAGAATTTGTTCTATGGGGGTATGACACCCAAGCTGTAACTGTGTAAACATTGATTTAGCATCCAATCCTAGACCATTAATAACGGTCTCGGAGTGATCTTCATTAGTATAGTAGGCAGGCGTTAATTCGTCTGTTCAGTATGCATCCTGCAATAAAGATACATTTAGGTGGAATGGGACAATTAAAACTAATGATTCCACACAGAGGAAGTTTATCATTTAAAAGTTCCACGTTTTTAAATCACAGTCACATCTCAAATGTGTTTTTGTGCACTAAAGTATAGTAATCGTTGAGAAAAGGCCAATTGGGGATTTGTCAGCCCCCACACATCCTTTCAAAAGGGATACCTGTGCTGGCATTTGTGCAGGAGGACTGTGAGTTCTTATGCAAGTCAAATGTTCAGCAAGCTTTTATTTTTCAACGCGGTCCCCTTGCACATCCACGCAAGCCTCCCTTGCCAAGCTAGCTGTTTTATTCTGAAGAATAGGACACTGTGTTGCTTGGCACCAGTGTTCAGACTGAAGCAGGGAGGTTCCCCCATCGGGCCGGAGTGGTGAAAATCTGACGGAGCCACACCCGGACTGTCAGGTGGGGTCCCGTTGAAGCCTTCTCAGCCCCCGCCGTGATGCAGGACGGCGCCGTTCGCCTTCTGCGTTTGGGCAGTGAAGGGAGTGCTCTGGGACGCTGCGGGAATGACTGATGGAGTGGCCAGCCTCCCTTTGTCCCGTGGAGCTGTGGCGGCCCTGTGGAAATGTGCAAAGGGGCTGCGCTGAAAAATGTCTCCTCTCCCGTGAAGTGTATTTTGTGGATAAATTAAGCACCATAAAAATGCTACCAGTTATTAACTTAATCTTTGTTTTAAAGGGCCATCTAAATCACCCACCAGATAAAATGAAGCAAGACATGTTTTTTGTATCATTTGCTGAAACTGATTTTGCACGAACCTGAAGCAGATGCCAATTCTAACCATTTTAGATTCAATTGGAAAAGAAGCAGCTTTTTAACAACTCTTACACTAAATGTGGGATGAATGGGAATGGTGTATGCCTCATTAAGTTGTGATATAATTTTTATTTACACCTGAGTGAAGAATTTTAAATATCCCAAATTCATGTTAATGAGTGTGATTTGGAACCATTTTAAACCAGTGTTGAATTGTATTAGAAACACAAAGACTACATCTTCTGTGCAATTTTTAATGAAAGCTAACACAAAGGGTCACTTAGTGCTCTGTGGTTAAGTGGCTTTATAGAAGAAGAGATCACTTGCCTAGGTATAACACTCAAGCTAGTCGCTTGTGGTAAAGTGGCCCGCTGTAACAACTTTGTTGTGTAAGTTTAAGCAGTAACCAACATTTCAAATTCTGGACCTGTTTCTGCAGCACCTACAAGGAAATAGGAAACATGCATAAAACGTACACAACAATTAAAAGTTGGAGATGGAATATATTAGCAGAATAGAAATGAAACTGCTTCCCATATGTATTCCAACTGTATTACACTTTCATGCACAGAATATCTTTTGTGTGCTTGATGTTTAATCAGGGACTAAATGTTTATTTTTAAAAGCAAATGTACTTTGAAAGAATTTATGTATGACAATGCTGAGAGCCCCTGTGCTGTGGACAATGTTCTTAGCTGCTGCTGTATTATCTACTGTATCTAACAAACAGCGGACAAGCCAGCTGAGTCAGTAAGAGCAAAGGCTGCAGAGAGGCCCTCCCTAAAACGGGTTCTTAATGACGTTGCTGCTGCGGTTCCCCTGCTCGATTTAAAGTAGCTCACCTTGGTAAGTTGTTTCGACTCCACCAGGACCAGAAGAGAAGGGAGGCAAAGGTGTGAAAACTAAGACTGTCTCTTCCAGCAATGGAGGAGGAAGCAACACTCGAAGCGCTGACAAGCGTTCGGCCGAAGAGGCTGCCGGAGACTCAATGGTGCAGCCAGCACCACCTAAAGTTTCCAAAATCGGATTAAGCAGCCAGGCCCTTAAGAAGCCAGCCCCGATCTCCATCAAGCTTGGTGCTAGTGTGAGTCTGGATTTCCTGCTTCTTGGTGTGTCGTGGTTGGGGTGCAAGAAGTTAACTGTGTCAGATTTTCTTTCAGATGAGTGTCACGTTAGAAATGCTGTCTCCATGTTGATGACCCTAATGTGATGCGGTGTTTAGTCTTTGGATCCCAATATTTACTGTATCCATCCACTGTGTGATTTCTTAAAACTATACAGTGCATGAGTAACCCATCACTTTTCAAGTCTTAATTTTTACACCCACTTCCTAAATCATCAAGGAATCATCAGTGGGTGGGTGACAAATGTGTCCATTAAGATTGTCGTGATTATTAAAATTATACTTCAGCAAGGCTATAACAGTTTATCATAATCTAGAACATGATATTGTGAGCAATAAGACAATTATTAAACGATTTCAGTGCAATGCTATTATTAACCAACAAATATATTGTCCAGAAGGTTACTCTTCTGAAGTTGAACTTCTTTCTTCTCTTTTGGGGGATGCAGAAACCTAAAGAGAGCGCACCAGTTCTCCCTGCAAAGAAACCTGCGCTGGCGGCTGTGTTTAACGAGGATGAAGATGTAAGTATCGATGCAACCGACCTTAGCCTAAGCAGTGAATGTAGTGGATAAGAATTTCATGACACTCTACACAGAGTGAGCTCTCTAGCAAAGCATATGTACTTTTTCTTTACACCTAGACCTGCCATGTTTTTGGTATACCTCTGTAATTGGCATAGCCAGTTGCTTAATATTACATCTCAGCTTGCAGCTGTGAGCCCTGCTACTGCCCGAAGGGGGTAATGAGGCTTTGTAGGCAGAATCTCTTAACCCTCCCACCCTTAAGCCACTCTCCATGTGCAGGGGAACTCCAGTCCCTATTTCTCTGACCAGTGATTAAATCTTGGTTATAAAATAAATTCCTTGAAGGCATAGAAACATTTTACAAATTTCAAATTGACCACAAAATTGTGAGCTTTATAAAAGCGCTGGATAGTTGCCACGTTGTCACAAACCCACAAATTGTGATGTGATTCGTCCTGAATCTCAGAATATGGCGCTGCGCATACCTGGAAATGTTGTCTATTGCGTGATGTTAATTGGAGTTTTACAAGTTAGTGTGTACATTTTACTCTTATTGTGGTTTGAAAAGCACTCGATCAGTGCCGATTTTGTTTTCCCCCTTACCCTGAAAACCCCCTTGTTGCTGTTGCCCTTTAACCCGTCACGTTACACACCTCCATGCGGGAGGTTCAGTGCCGCCTGGAGGACACTGTACCACACTGAACCCCAAGCCTGTGAACACATGGAAGGCTGAATCAGTGACATTACCTGCGCTCAGACCCGTGGTCATGCTCTGCCTGCGCAGGGGCAAGCACCTTTGTTGCCTTAGCCGTTTGGGAAGTCCCAGCATCCTATTTTTTAAAAACATTAGTTATATTGACCAGCAAATAGACGTGATTAATCTTATTGATTCGAGTCTCAGCCATTTATATAGCTTATTCAATAATACACTATTTATATAGGACACTAACAATTATTATATAAACTTGAGGAATTTCCATTTTGTAGTATAATAGTTAATTTTTTTTTCCCAGAGTGAACCTGAAGAAATGCCACCAGAAGCTAAAATGAGAATGAAAAACATTGGGAGGTAAGAACATGAGAACTGACCTATTGTTTTATAATTGTAATGCACTACTGGGGTCAAATTGGTAATTTAGAAATATGACCCATTAATGTCCTAGGTATCCTGGGAAAGTTTCTTAACTGCATTTAGGAAAGCTCAAAACCTTTGTTACAAACCCTGCTCACATCATTGTGACTTTGGAATAAATTTTCCAGGTAAAGTGGATCATGAGAAAACAGTCTTAGTGTAAGGAGAACACATTGACATTTGAATAATGCATGTGTCTTTTATTTTTGTAGAGACACGCCTACATCTGCCGGACCCAATTCATTCAACAAAGGAAAGCATGGCTTCTCTGATCACCAGAAACTGTGGGAAAGGAAGCTCAAAACTCACACGGATAAATAATGTGAAGGTGTATTTGGGGTTTGGGATTATTTTTTAGGTTATTTTAAGTGTAGCACAATTTGTTTTATTTATACATTAAAACGCTAAGGGGGCTTTCATAAAATATTTAACAACACAGTGGAACATGGTTATCGTGTTGGGGTATCTCTTTTGGACATTGTTTGTCACTGTGCAGTTTTTTTAATCACTTATGTGAAGAAGAAAAGACATTCCCTCAATCGAGAAGAGAAACTGCACTCTTCTTTAATAGTACAGCATGCTTAGCCAGGCTATTAATCTTTAGTTTTATCATTCATATTGTTGCACAAGAGCCAAATCCAGTGCTTATAAAAGTATTTAAAGTTTAAACACTTATTAGAAGCATACTTCGCATATATGTGAGGAAAGGATAACAGGCTGGTAAATTTTATTGCTCTCCAATAAAATCCCACCCATAATTTGACCAGCCCTTCATTTAGCTGCCCAGTCTTGGCAATGAAAGTTCAGTGCTTACCAAAACAGATGGAAGCTGCTATTAAAAATATTAATTTCAGCTCTTAGCAATGACATAATAGTGAAAGTTTTTCCTGTGAAAAATACTGCATAGTATATAGCTATTAGCCATTTGTTGGTAATTTAGTGCTCAAACTATATTTTAGTACTATTCCATCTTATGTATAGTTTTTAAATAAATGGTTGATGCTACTGTATTTTTGAAGCCTTCCTTTTTCTTTCATCTGAGAAGAAATAGTGTTTAATCTCATGTCCATGGATAAGTGACATTTGCTGTTCTGCATCTGCTGTTATGTAATTATTCAACCGTCATGAATTGTCTACATCAGCTCTCGTTTTGCATTCTGTGTGCTTCACTATTAAAGTAGGCAATTGTTTCTGCTTAAGCTTTGCTTGGAATTACTTTTGGACTAGACTCTCAATCCAGCAAATTCATTAGATCTTTTGACCTAATATTTCATGAGTACAGTATATTGTTTAATATTTTTGCATTTGTAAATATCTGCTTCACTATAAGACTGTGACATTTGTATGCATTTCGGTAATATTTAGATACTAGCTACACAGTGTATTAGGACCCAAGATTATAGTTAATAGGAAATCCCTTGTTTTGTAATAAAGCTTTTGCTGCCTGAGAGTGTGTAAGTATATGGCAATATCCTGCCCATAATCCTATGTTTAAAATGGTTTTGTACTTTTAATATTTGGTTTCATTTTAAACTTTTGTTTGAAAAATAATGGCTTCATGTGATGGGTGGGAATTGATAGTAAAATTACCATTACAGGGGAAAAATTGTATTTAAAAGCAAAACTTGCTGAATATGCAATTCTGTATTTACAAATGCATGAGTGATGTAAATAAAACTGAAATGTGTGCTCCACCAGTTTTGTTATTCATACAGCTGGCATCTTAAGTGTTGATCAAATAAACTTTTGGATAAAGACTCAAGGGTAGTGGGTTGCCTCTACATTTTCTAAAGTGGAAGGGTTTCACAAGTTTTTAAATTGTTTAATTTGCTCCACTGTTTTGTAATCAAATTACAATGTTTACAATTTTTTTCAAGTTCTTTCATACTGGATATTAAGCAAAGGTGAATAAATTATAAGAGCTAAAAATATTGACCTGCTAAGGTCACATTAAATAGGTGTATTTAGACTATTGTATACATAATATGGAAAAAATAACTTCCATATGTGGTACAGAGAATGTGAATTCAAAATTGTTCTTCCATGTGTGGAAGATATCACTTTTTTCTAATGCAAATTTTAAAGGTTTTTGAGAACATCTGTAACCATTGATCCGATTCACTATTCAGAGGGTGTACTGATGAAATTGTGTGCATATAAAATGTAGTGGAAAACTATCACTCCTTGCTGTGTTTTGTTTTTGAGACATAGTTCTTGTCAAATCTTAAGATTTAAAAACCTACAGGTGTTTCTGCTTCAGAACAGTCAAATGTATTGTTCATAGCAGCGGAGACTGTCTATGTATGAAACATTCTATTAATGAAAACGTACACATCAGGGCTTAACAAACCGAATAGAGAAGTGTTAAATTCTCTACAGAAAAAAAAACTAACAATACAGCCTTAAAAATCTGGAGTATCACAAAAACCACAAGGGTCTACTCCTGTTCCCATTTCTAGGTACATCTACAGCTTTATTTTTGGGATCAATTTGCTGAGGATAATATACAAGGAATATTCCCACCTCATGGTCATTGTATAATATTAAGATGGTCAAAATAAAACCTAACCCAAGACTGAAGATGAATATTGATATCAACACCTTAGAGGCTTTAACAAAAATTACCTTTAACCAATAAAATATGGATTGCATTGGTACTCACTTTTGGTCTACAGATATATCAGTACATCCCTGATTTTGATGTTTAAACCTTTCAACTTAATGAAACTGGTGAAAATGCTTTGAGAATCTGTTTAGCTTTGACAACAAATACACCAGGGTGTTTCGTCTCTGAGAAATCCACATTTCTATAACACACCACCAAGTATGTTGTGGTGTTTCACGCACAGTGTGATAAAACCACACACTCAGATGTGCTTTTGTCAATCAGATGTCCTGTTTAGAGTTACATGCAGATCCTAGTGGAGCAAATACTCACACTTATATTTCACTGCTCAGCTCAATGCTCAGTTGTCAGTTTTATAGGGTATTAAAGCTCTAAAAAGTAGTCATATTAGAAGAAATATTAAGGATAAAGTCAAAATGCATTAAATTGCTTCTACTGTAATGTTGCCTAGAGTACCATGGCTATGCAGTGTCATTAACCATGAAGCACATTAAAATCTTTCATATTCATAACCCAGGTCCATTTTGTTTTTGCCAGCCCTGTTACACTTTTAATACTCATTAAATGACAACAAATGTCAATTATAGCCACAGTACAGCCAACCACTTTGTATGTTCTTTTTTAATTAGTCACTCAGACCATCCAGCAATTTATACAAGCAAAAAGAACGATTATACTTTTATCACAGAAATGTTACTGGAAACCAGTACGGTATATTCATCATACACCTTAACGCTTGGCTGACCTTTTCACAGTTTCAGGTTACCCATTATTCTGCAGTAAACATCGTGTGCAAAATGAATTTTACAGGAGTCTTCACTGATAAAATACATACTCACATTTTGGAATGCTTTTTTTTTTGTAATGTTTCTTGCAACTTACCTAAAGATGAAATTCAATTTCACTCATTAATATTCAAGAAAGGCTTACAGATGAACAAAGGAGAACATTTTTCACACCATTTAAAGACTTCTACTGTTAAGATTGTTTTTAATCCAGCATTGCTAAATTTAACCTTCCTCCTCTGGCAATCATATCATTTTTTGCATCACTCTCGAGGCATTTCTTTGGCCACATATTATATGATTACATTAGGGGGAAAACTATACAGCATACAAATTGCAAGTATTATAAAGAAGCTGCAAACCAGGTAAGTCTTAGCCTAAGAAGTTTATGGGCAACAACATACACTTCCCTGCATACATGTACACATTGTGTAGAATACCAATAAACTGCTCATGTATAGTATCATTACAGCTCATGTAGCCAAATATGCAACATTACAGACCAGGTTTTGACAAAAGAAAAACTGGAGAAAATGAGAATTCATCAGCCTGCAGGTGCCATGTCAAAATTCCCCCCCCCCCCAAAAAAAAAGCGCAACTTGATATTTACACATTTACAGACAACTCCTCACAGGCAGGACCAGGTGATCATTTGGAAAACGCAGGAAAGGCCGATTCCCAAACTGAACCCGGACTGCCACGCGGATGGAGGCTCATTCCCTGGTACCCTGGCTGTCAGGAGAACAACCCCAGCTACGCAAGGCCATTTTGTCGCAGGAGGAAGAACCGTGCCGATTCTGTGAAGAGGACGTCCGTGACGAAGGTCACTCTGCTTCCGTCACGTGGGCCACCTCCACCTCCACGGTCTGGATCGCATCGGGGGTGTCCTCGGCCAGCTTGGCAGGGCCGCCGCCCCCCTGCTGCTGGGACAGGACGTAGTTGACCACCTGCATGATGCTCTGGTCGGACAGCGTGGACACCGTGCCGCACTCCTCGGTGGCCGCCACGGCCTGCACGGCCTCGATGGTCTCCTCGGTGACCAGCACCGTCTCGATCTCCTCGGCCACCTGCTCCTCCTCGGGGGGCCGCAGCTCGGGCGGCAGGTCGGCGGCGATGATGCTGATGGCGTGCTCCACCTGCGTCCCCTGGTTGTGGAACTGCAGCGTGTCCTTCTCCAGCATGATCTTGCCGGGGATGTAGTCGTTGTGGAACTTGGTCATGTGCTTGCGCAGGGTGCGGGCGTCGATGTAGGCGTCCTGGCACACCGGGCAGACGTAGGGGCGTTCCCCCGTGTGGGTGCGCACGTGGCGCTTCAGGGAGCGGGCATCCGCCCACGCCACGCCGCAGGTCAGGCACTCGAACGGTTTCACGCCTGTAGCAGAGGGGCAAGTCAGTGCGCGATCACGATCAGAAAAGCTTTTTAGCAAAACAGAGTAAAAGAGCAAAATTCTAGGACAGCTTCCGAATTACAGAACTAGACTCCCTGTGTACTCTTTTTTTTTTTTTTACAAAACCCTCAAAACCTCAGGGAGGTTAATTCTCTGTGCTTACTGGAAGAGTATACAATGCTTCTATTGTCTTAATTCCCCAACAGGGATTCAAAAACATTTCAGCCATCAGCTCTGAAGGATACTGCGTTTACAGTTCATCACACCCACTGGCAAAGAGGACACGTGGACCCTTAACCACCCCTAAAAGTAGAATTAAAATGTAAGATCTAAAAACTTGAAAATCTTTAAAATTCAGACAAACGTACAATGCCCCCCCCACCCTTTAAATAAACATTTTCTGACGATCTCACCAGTAAAGAGAAACATAAAAGAGTACGCCACCGGTTACAGACCTCGTTAAGCTTCCCCTCCGCCCACTCCCAGCCCTCACACCCCAGAGAGGGCCGAGGCGCGTGGGGCACTGGCAGTGACTCACCCTGGTGGTTGTTCATGTGCCTGCGGTACTCGCGCAGCTGCGTGAACTTGCGGCCGCAGTGCTCGCACTCCCGCTCCAGGTTCTGCTTCACGCGCCCCTTCTTGCCGTGAGTGGCCTTCTTCACGTGCCTCCGGAACAGAGCCTTCTCGTAGAACTCCTTCCCGCAGACGTTACACCTGAGCGGCACAGAGACCCGGCTTTAGCGCCACGGGCTGCAGCCACCTGGGGGGTTCTTCAAGCGACGCCCCGGCAAGATGGCATCTCGCTCCTCTTGCGTCAGTGGGAGCAACTATTTCTCCGGGATCTGGTACTTTTATTCCATCTGGGTTATCATGGTGTACTGCAAAGCCTGAGCAATGTCCTTCAACCTCACTGCAAAACCAAACTGTCTTTCCGCACAACCCAGCTGGTTGCGACCGCTAAGCGACTGAATACTCCAGAACTCAGGAGAACTGCAACGAGTCCTCCATTACATACACGATAGTGTTTCAGGCCAACCGGGACTCCACTTCCTTAAAGCGGAGAACTATTTTTGGTTTGAGACAAGTATGTTAAAACTAGGTCTACTTGTTGGTTTCGCAGCATCTGTACCTCAAATTGGAACAGGCTGGAAAAAAAGTGAAAATGAGCACCAAAATCATGAGATCACATCACATCAGCTTGAATACCTTCTACAAACAGGGGGACGAAAAGAAGGCTTTACTTTAATAAGAGCACTGGGGAGTGTTTGGCTCACCCCCTTCACTGTCAACTTACATTACACCCATCTGGGAGATGCCCCAGCACCACTAGGTGTAACGGTAATACTCAGGAAATCCTTCATCCCCTCAACAAATCTCATTCGTTCTCAAATGCTCAAAAAATAACCCCTTTTCCTGAAACACTCTTATACTGAATTCTTTGTTGGTAACCTTTCTTTTCGTACTTGTTGTACAGTTGTGTTGGACCCTGCCATAAAATAGATGCCCCCTTGGGATAATAAAGCTTGATCGGAATTTAAAATTAAATGTAACTGTAGGCTGGAACATGTGACTCATTTCATCTGTCGAGGGATGTGTAATTTTCATTATAACATTTTTAACACGTTTATCTGATTGTGGGCAATCAGCAGCAGCTGCAGTATCTCAAGAGCTAGGTTATACAATAAGCATGCACACAAGCTTCAGGCTTTAAAAAACTTCACTCAGCATTTATATTTCCATATCATCCATTTACAAACGAGTGTGAACCACCCCTTAATAATATAAGAGCGGTATTCTCGAAGCGTCACACAAACATTTCAGCTATTTGAAACAATGTGCAACTTTCCCTTAAACTAACAAGCACCTGACACACGAGTCCAGGGGGAGCAGCCGTGATAAATTAATCGGATGAAACCTTTAAGGGAACAAGGCGACTACAGTATAGCGCCAGCTTGTGCCGATCCTGCCACTCACTCCTCAGAGGAAAAAACAAAAAGAGCGATTCTCAGAAAAACAACTCACTTGAAGGGCTCCGCAACGCTGTGGGACTTGACATGGGAATACCAGTCCTTCTTCCAGCTGTAGCACTTTCCACACACCTGGCACTGGAAGGGCTTCAAGCCCAAGTGCTTGTTCATGTGCTGCTGGAGATCGCGAGACTCGTAGAAGCTCTTGTCACACCTGCAGCCAAGAGATCGGGCGAGTCAAAGGGCATTCGACAAAATTATTCAACACC